TTATCCCACAAGTTGGGCATCTTTAGTAATCATTAAAAAAGGTCAGTAAACTTTGAGAACTGACTATAGCGGTTATGCGCTATGCTAAAAAATGGGACATTTTTCGTACCCTTGCTTTCACATGAGCACAAAAGTGCACATAAAATAGACATATGCATATGTTTATAGACTGAAATCTGGCATTAAATAGCCAAATAATTCTCTTTCCTGCAATAAGACATAGCTTTGGAGAACATTTAAAGATAAGCCAGGCAGTTTTCTCGATTCCTTAGATTAAATTATTTGTGAATATGATGCCTTACTCTTACGAGTATTACTATATTATAGATAAAACGCCAGAAAAAATTGCACTAGATTTGTAATTTATTGCTTAGTGGGCATCGTTAAATAAATATTCGAGTATAGCCAAACGTCAGGGGTGAGATCGATTTTAGATTAGCTTCATTGCATAGTTGACTTAAAATTACTCAAAATCTAACTTAAAATTTACTTAAAAACTTAAAAATGCATCAAAAAAGATAACTTCTATTACAGTTTACATACAGTATGACGGCATAAACTGTTGAGTTTTCTTGGTAGTTCGAAATAGTTGCATAAATGGTACCCATCTCAGCTGAAACCTGCTCTGTGACAAGAGTTGGTCTAGCACAGTTTATTCGAATCAAAGACATTTTTTCGTATATATGCAAAAAAAACTGGGTTTTGAAGAATTCCTTAATGAAATATTGTTGCATGACTCTCCATTTTGAAAGGAGAGTTGGTTGATTCATCGGGATTACAGGACGGTGAATCGAGGACTCCTTCGCACAATTCAACAGTCTTCCCTACGCAGCAACCCTCTTACGGTTTTCTTTGAGACAAAATCACGAATTCCTTTTAACCAACTTTGCCTTCGGAATAGAGAGTCATGCCACATTTCTTATCGAATAGATTAAAACAGCGGATGAGTATCTGGCGAGTTCAGCCAACATGAATCATTTCAAGATACACTTTTGCTTTAAATGGAAGTGAACTTACAATAAAAAGTCAAAATTTTCAGCCAATACAACATTCGTTCGACAAAAAAAACGAGCATAAGAGCTTTTCTCACTCACTATCAGTTCTTCGTCACTTTGACTCAGATCTCTCTAACAATACAAGAATATTTATCGAATTAAGTATTGTTGTCGTGACTGGCAGTAAATCAGAAATATGAGATGTATTCACCCGATTTCGTTTAAGGTGACGAAGGACTAGTAGAAGAAGAATTTTCCCACAATGTTATGAGTTGAGCTGACGTTTTTATTCAATTTCACATAGCCTTGCTTTCCCA